TAAATAAAATACATACCAGGAACCAGGTGCTACAAACAGCGTGAAGGAGAATCGAATAAACCATACTTTAAGAGGTTTAATGAGATCAGTAGGAAAATGCCAACCCGGGACGACCCTATTATCATAGTGGCATTCACTTACGGGCTCCTAGAAGGGGAGCTATTTCGAAAGCAGGTAGGGTGAGAATGGGTTAATGCAGAATAAATGATACGAAAAGTTAATCGGTTCCTGAGGCAAGAAGCTGAGAGCGCTGAAAAAGCAATGATGGAAGGAAAGGCCATGGAGGGAAGAGGGAAAAGGGAAGAACGAATTAAAACATACCCGTCTCAACCCAATGGACAGCCTCGCCATAACTACAGGAGAAGGCCACACCAAAGCGAGAGGGGAAGGCAAAATGGTCGTTACCAGCCATATTGACAGGAAGCATATGAAGCTTATACTCCACAAAGCCCGAACAAGTACAACATAGATAAAAATAGAAAATATCCTCGAGACCCGAACAAGTACTGTGATTTTCACAAAAAGTTGGGTCATGCGATGGAGGATTGTGAAAGTTTAAAAAGAGAAAAGGTGGTAATTAAGAGTCGACGAGCGAACGTCAAAGAAAGACGGTACACCAAAGTATGATGCTGGAATTGCCATGGTACAAGGCGAAGAAGATCCCGGTGACGAGTTAACACGGAAGCGGAAAATGACTAGCATTGAGTTTAGTCTTCATGATCCAATACCTTTTGATCATAAAGGGACGGAACCTTTGATAATAAAGGTGGCGATAGGAAGAACGCTGATCAGAAGAGTTTACATGGATAACGGAAGTTCTGTCAACATAATGTACGAACATTTCTTGAGAGGACTGCCCTCGGACATCCAAAGATACCTCAAGCCTGCCACGGCTGCAGTGGTAGGGTTCGCAGGCCAGTCTGTGTGGCCAAGAGGGAAGATCTTGTTGCCCTTCACACTGGAAGACTATGGAGGTAACATTCGGAAAACCATATTAATGGAATTTGTAGTAGTACAGGTACTGTCTCCCTATAATATACTTTTTGGAAGAATCGGCTTGTGGAAGCTGCAAGTCGTCTCATCCACAGTGCATGGTTAAAGCAAAATTCCTACTAAGACAAGAGTGGCGATAGTTCAAAACACCACCACAAGACCTCCTGAACGTAGCCATGTTGTACGGCCAGAGCAAGTTGAGCCCATGGAAGAAGAAGGAATTTCTTTGGTAGATACAGAGGAGGTAGTTGTCAACGAAAACCACAAGGATCAGACAATTAAAATAGGGGTCAAGCTCCCTAGAGTGTTGTGAGAGGGTTTGATGACGATATTAAGAAAATATCAAGATATGTTTGCATGGGAACCCGCAGATATGATAGGTATCCCAAGGTCAATAATAGAACATCACTTGAACATCAGATCCTCATGCGTACCGGTGAAGCAAAAGAAGCGTATCATGGACAAAGAAAGAAACGAAATCGTCAATAAGGAAGTCGAAGCTTTAGTAAAAGTCGGAGTCATGAGGGTCACACAATTCCCAAAATGGATTGCCAGCACGGTGCTAGTAAAAAAAGCATATGAAACGATGAGAATGTGCGTTGATTTCACCGACCTCAATAAAGCTTGCCCGAAAGACAGCTATCCCCTTCCAGAAATAGAGTAGAAGAATGAGTCATTAGGAAGATACTGATGGAAATCTTTCTTGGATGCATACAAAGGGTATCATCAAGTGAAGATGGCCGCGGATGATGAAGACAAAACAACTTTCCATACTGAGAAAGGGACTTTTTGCTACACAAAGATGCCTTTCGGATGGTGGAATGTGGGGGCGACCTACCAACGGTTGGTAGACAAAGTATTCACGCAACAGGTGGGAAGAAACGTTGAGGTATATCTAGATGATATGGTGATAAGAGCAAGGATGATGATGATTTCCTGGAGGATGTGGAAGAGACTCTCAAAAGGCTACGACAGACCAACATGAAGCTCAACCCAAAGAAATGCATCTTTGGAGCACAAAGAGGGAAGTTCTTGGGCCATATTGTAATAGAAATGAGAATAGAGGAGAACCCTGAAAAGGTTGAAAGTTTGTTGAAAGCAACAACACCATGAACAATGAAGGAGGTACAAAGTCTTAATGACAAGTTAGCGGCATTGGGGCGATTCCTGGCTAAGTTAGTAGACTATACGATACCTTTCTTCCAACATTGAAAACATTCACAGGGAAGAAAGATATACTATGGTCGGATGAGGCGAAAGAAGAACTCCAAAAATTGAAGCGATGCCTCAAACAACTGTCAAACCTGGCAAGTCCTTTAAAGGAGGAAGTGTTAACAGTATACCTATCGGCGAGTCATGAGGCGATCAGTGCAGCGTTGGTTGCAAAAAGAGGAACGAAGCAAGTACCAGTATACTTCATTAGTAGGGTACTGCAAGGGGCGGAACGAAATTACTCTAAAGTAGAAAAGTTGGTCTTGTCTTTGGTATACACAGTCAGACGGTTACATAGATACTTTCAGGCACATCCCATCGAAGTATTAACCGACCAACCAATGAAGCAGGTTCTACTACAACCCGAACGTTCGGGAAGAATGACGAAGTGGGCGATAGAATTAGGAGAACATGACATCACATATAAACCCCGAATTAGCATAAAAAGGCAAACTCTTGTAGACTTCTTGATAGAAATGCCCGACGACCCGCTGCCATCAATGATGACTACTCCTAAAGATGATGATGAACTTCCAAAAGCCCCGAACCAAGCAACTAAAGAAACGTGGGTGCTATATACTGATGGGGCATCAAGCAAAAACGACTCAGGAGCAGGTATTGTTCTCACCGGCCCACATGGGGACAAGTAAACCTATGCCCTACGATTCACATTCAAGTGTTCGAACAATGAGGCAGAATACGAGGCTCTGCTAGCGGGGTTACGGTTGGCAAGGATCATGAACATCTCGCATCTTGAAGTGTTTAGTGACTCAATTTTGGTAGTCAAACAAATTAAAGGAACTTACGAAGTGAATGAGGCGCACATCGAAAAGTACCTGGCTCAAACACAGACATGGATCGCGAAATTTATCAGGATAGGTTATTCTACCTCATGGCTGAAATGTATCACAAATAAAGAAGAGGAAGTGGTAATGCAATAAGTACACTTGGGAATCTGCGGAGCGCATGGAGGGTCACGAGCAACCACCCAGAAGATCCTCCGGGCAGGATATTTCTGGCCTTCCATGACTCGCGACACAGAAGCGTTCATCAAGAAGTGCCTCGACTGCCAGATACATGCGAATGTACCAACACTACCACCACAATATATGATTAGCATCACAAGCCCTTGGTCATTCCTCCAATGCGGAATTGACATTGTCGGTCCTTTCCCTGAAGCATCGGGAGAGCTTAAATTCCTTATCGTAACAATAGATTACTTTACCAAGTGGGTTGAAGCTGAGGCGGTTGCAATCATATCCGGAGAAAGAATTATCAAATTTGTATGGAGACAAATTGTTTGTCGTTGCGGTCTACCCCACACCATCATAAGCGACAATGACAAACAGTTTGACGAGAATCCATTTAAGAAATGGTGCCAAGAAAAGGAGATTCATCAGAATTTCACCTCAGTAGCTCACCCACAGGCTAACGGTCAGGTAGAAGTGACGAATCGAACTTTAGTTAAAGGGACTAAGAAGAGGCTAGGAAAAGCTAAAGGGAATTAGACCGATGAATTAAACACGTATTATGGGCATACCGAACCAAGGTGCGGACACCAGCCAAAGAAACTCCCTTCTGTCTGGTGTATGGAACAGAAGCAGTCATTCCTATCGAAGTAACGATCCGGACCACGCGAACCAACAATCCACAGGCACAGTCAAACACATCGAACCTCCGAACAAATCTAGACCTATTAGAGGAGGAGCGGGAAGAAGCGGCCATATGACAAGCCAGTTATAAGTCACTAATTGAGAGACACTATAACACTAGGGTAAAGAAATCATCGTGTAAAGTAGGTGGTTTGGTTCTAAGCAAGAACGAAGCAAGCAGGCAAGAGCCTATTGGAAAATTGGGTCCAAACTAGGAAGGGCCATATCGAGTGATCGAAGTTCGACATAGTGGAGCTTATGTTCTGAAAACATTTTATGGGACACGCTTACCACGAACATAGAACATGCACAATCTCCGTAAATTCCACTTTTGAAAGCGGTATGCAAGATAATCGGAGGGAAAGGAATCAAGCGTCGACGACATTTTAGAATTCATAACTTTTACTGTTCTTTTTGATGTAATTCGATTACTTATTCTGAAATCATATCTTTCATTCCTTTCAATCCTATCGATTATGAATAATCAAGTCTATATCCTACAAACATCGCCATAATCCTCAAATTATGGCTCAATGTTCTTATTACTCGAACCTTAGGCTCAGACCTAATAGTTCGAGCAACTTACAAACATCGCCATAATCCTCCAAATTATGGCTCGATGTTCTTATTACTCGAACCTTAGGCTCATACCTAATGGTTTGAGCAAGTTACAAACATCGCCATAATCCTCCAAATTATGGCTTGATGTTCTTATTACTCGAACCTTAGGCTCAGACCTAATGGTTCGAGCAACTTACAAACATCGCCATAAACCTTCAACTTATGGTTCGATATTCCAATTACTCGAACCTTAAGTTCAAACCCAATGGTTTGAGCAATATACTAAACATAGCATCCGAGTTAACGAAGGGAGCATTTCAAGGTCTGACGAACGCTTTAGTCAATACAAAATTAGACACCAACTATTACCGATAGAAGAATAATCGAAAACACAAATAACTCTTACAATTACACAGGTAAGAAGAAAAAGGATTTGAGCAAATAGAGGAATATCACATTGTCATTTAGCAAAGTGTCATTACAAGATAACAAAAAACTACCCCACAACATTGGGAAAATAAAAGTTACGCTTACAAGTTCAAAAGTTCAAATCACAAGGAAAACAAACACAATTCCCGACCCCTAGCCTGATCCAACTTCATCTGCCCCAGATGAATCCACAACCTTCAACAATTTCTTCAAACCACCAACATCCATCTCCTCACTCTCCAGAGCAGAAACTAACGAGTACTTGTATGTTGTCATTTTAGCAGAACGTTCCATAATTTGACGTTGCGCATCTGGGTACGAGTACATAACATTTTTACCTTTCAACTCTTCGGGGTACCTTTCTTTCATTTCCATACAGGCTTGATGGAGACTGAGCAGGATAGCGGATGTCTGCAAGGCGACATTCACGACACCAAAGTCGCTTGAAGCCAACAAAGTCTTAACAAAGGTGGGGATTCCTTCCTTTATGACCCATCACAACTCCTCAACCTTTTGATTTGCTCCCGTCTGGTAACTTGTTGTATTATGCTCCATCAGAAGTTGTGAGTCGCTCAATGTGGCAATTCGGGCATCTTTCTCCAACATCAGGAGCTTCTCCGCGGCTAACTCCTCCTCTAGCAATTTAATACTCATATCTTTGCTAGAGCAGGCGATTTCCATCTAAGAAACCTTCTCAGTATATTGTGACTTCAGCGAATGGTACCGCTGAGAGATACCCTCGAGTTCTTTGACGGCAGATACGCGGCGACTCACAACATCATCCAATTTTAGTTGTAGATCTTGATTCAAAATTTTCAACTCCCCCTGTTGACCGATGGCTTGACTCAAATCTCTCACCAAACTTTGGTTTCTCCCTGACAAACCGACTACCTCTTCCCTCAACCCCTTAGCTTCTTCTTCTGTTTGCTCGTGAAGGGTCTGAAGTTGCTTCAACCCTTCCAAAGCTTCCTCAAACACGATTTGACACTGAGAAAGTTGCTCTGTACGCGCCCTTGTACGTGCATACACTTCGTTCAACACGTGCATTCCCTCCATCAAACATGATCGAGCCTTATCTAACGCTTCTTCATCAGACGCAACCCTCGTCTCAAAAGGGCTCTTGGGAACACTTGTCATAGAAAAAGGATGTTGGAACTGGGGAAGTGAAGCAACAAGAGTGACCAGTGTTGGCATCGTGGCCTCCTTTCCTGTAATAACAATATTTACGTAATGAATAAGCAAGTGGATCACATCAAAGATCTAAAACAAAAAAAAAACATCGACAAAGGGAGAAAGGGAACATACGACCCTTCGAGAGGGGAGGATTTGGGATACTGACTTCCATATCTACATATTTTTGTCTCCAAATGCTCTTCATTCCCAGTTGTGGTATCGGAGGGAATAGGAATAGGAATAACTACCTAGGAGTCGGTGGTTGATGCCATAAAGTGACCAAGTCCGGACCTTAAGAGCTTTTGTTGAAACACAGCCGCAACGGACAGACCCTTGGGATCTTCTTTCTCCAAAGGGGGATCCTCAGGGATCTTTTTCGGGAGGCCTCCAGTAACGGTCTCCGATTCTGGTTTGCCCGAGTGACGCACCTCCGCATCATCTTCCACGCGCTTCATCTCGCTGTCCGGCTCAATTAGACATTCGTGAAAAACAGCAGAAGCAGGATCTTCTGAGGCACACTCAGAGCTTATAAAATCGGAAGTCGGAGGATCAGATAGATCATTCAGGCTTCGGCTTTTTAATTCGCAACCAGATCGCTTCCGTTTGGGAGGGGACATCCCGATCAGTTGATCGTCTTGAGCACTCTTCGAACGCTTCTTTAGGACAAACCCTTTTGATGCAGCCCTCGTAAACATCGTAGGAGGCTTGCCAAAATCGGAGTCCAATTTCGCGCTCTTCGAGCGAAAGGGTAAGAGGAATAGGTCTAGAACCCTCTGCTCGAGAAATGTCTAGGGAAGAGTCCATGCTAAACTCTGACCTAGTCAGGGAATCCTACGTTATCACCTCCTCCGTCGCTACGCGGAGTTCGCAATCTGTCTCCGATGAAGTCGGTCAAGAAGGGTTACGTCTTTTCCCTCTAACATCTCCATCGGCTTCTTACCTAAACGGTTCCAATGGGGACTCATGTCAGCCATACCCAACGTCACTTCATCGGGATCCACCCATCGAACAAAATTGTCTGATGACCTCTCTGTTATCAGTTGCTCGTCGGACGATAACTCGGGGCTGGGGTCAGCGGCTCTGTCAGCGGTAGCGTATGCCATGGGGCTTGAGAAAGCAGAGACATGAACGAAAAAGAACTCCTCTTTCCAATACTTTATGGAGGTTGGAAGACCGTCACAAATTTCCACCAAACCATGGCGAAGAGAGAAAGAAACCCAATCCCCGTTGGACATCGGAATGTAGAAATGGCAAAACAGGTTGATGGTCGGCGACACATCCATAGCGACGCATAATAGGGTGAAGCAAAGGATCTTGCGAAAGCCGTTAGGGGTTATTTGGGCGATGTGCAGACCATAATAATCCAAAAACAGTCTCTAGAAAATCGAAAGCAGGAAGTCGTAACCCGGATTTGAAAAACACCTGGTAAACCCCCACAAAGCCTCCAGGGGGGTCAATAATGGCGTCGGTGGCCTCCGACAGGCGGGGATGGAATTTGGGGTCGATTACATACTTCCGAACGAGCATACCCATAGTCCGAACAGTTAACTTGGATTTTACCGTCCCAATGTGAGAAATCCCAGTGCTCGCCATATTCAGAAAAAAAAAAGAATGAGTCTAACTGAGATGGTGAATGGTGAAATGGATGATTCAATACCAAATATTTATAGTAAGTCTAGAACATATGATAATTAACGGGTAGACAATGTGGTTGGTGGGTACTGTAACCCTATTAAAGAAAAAGTAGTCGAAAAGACAGTTATAAGCATCATCATGAGGACTAGCATAACCGTCAGCACGTCACGTCGGATTTAATTTAGGAGTTTTTCGCCCTTATCGGATTACAACAGCTATAATGTCGTTTCTTCTAAAGTTTGCATCCCTACCCCACCGATTACATAGAGATACAAATTGGGGGGACTTAACAGGATATAGCCCAGAAATACCTATATCCTTCCCAAATATACCAAACCAGCATGTTGCAAGGTCACTCGAAGTCACCTGCCCTATATGTCTCGAAGTTGCCCACTTATATACCGAACTGGCAAGAAGACTCGAAAGGAAAAGAAAGACCAACGAGAAAGTACAAAATGACGTCAAAACAGTAGCAATAGTACATCGAAACCATGAGAAGACAATATGTACGAGGATGTGTGGCTAACGGATCCTGGCATAACCATATGACAGCTGTGTAACGACATACAAAGTACAACTAGTCGTACCTTCGAGCATAATGCCATAAATGCGATAAGATGGCATGACAGGGTCGATACGAGAAGAACTCGTTACCTCTTCCTCATTCACTATAAATTGGTAATCTGACTCGTCAAGGAGGGACGTACACAGAAGTCATACTTATCTCACTTGTTTAACTCTCCACCCCTATAATCGATCGATAATATAGCCTTTCGCTAACTTAACCATCAGAGCGTTGTACGTGATCTCATCTCGGCCGACTAGCTTACGATTTGTTTGTATTTTTCAGGTCAATGTATTTGCTTGGTGAAACTAATCCAAGGGGGAAAGATGGAAGACGGACCCGATGGTACATCAACAACTATCAACTTAGTGCCTAATAGATAAAATTGGCAGTTGTGCCTAATAGATAACATCGGTAGCTATGGACTTAGTGTCTGTTAGATAAACCCTGACAGTGACGGACTTCGTGCATTGTAACGACGTAAATTTTTCAAAACAATTTTTCCCTTTAAAAACATACTTTTATTTTCACGATAATCATAAAAACGTAATATATCCACTGTAACATAACAAACATGTCCCAAGATCTCATATACATAAATCCTCTCAGTGTGTACGGATCATGCCGGCGCCTTCCCGCGATCCTCGCTAGTACCTGAAACACATCACACAACAACTGTAAGCATAAATGCTTAGTGAGTTCCCCAAAATACCACATACAACACATACGCCACTCGAGGCTATAATACGACCCTTCGGTCGATGTGTCTCAGCGGGACCCCCCAGTCCCGTAGCTCGTCAGACCCTCTGGTCCAGTCATAGCTCGTTGGACCCTTCGGTCCGGTCTGTATCGTTGGACCCTTCGGTCCGGTCTATATCGTTGGACCCTTCGGTCCGGTCTATACAACACATAGCACACATATATCACAATGCACATAAACTCAAACATACACATAACACATAAGACCCTCCGGTCTGCACATAGATACCACTCTAGGTACTGTATAGTGAGAAGACTCACCTCGGGTATCTCGGATGATCTCGCACACGAATCTACTGATCTAGCCTCCGCCTAATCACATACACAATATCCTCAAATAAATAATGGCTCTCAAAGGCTAGATTAAATCCCCTTCTACGATCCCTCAGAATGGTAAAAGATCCTTTTACCCCTCCTTGACTCAAAAGTCCAACTGTTGACCGAAACCCTAAAAGTCAACGAAAGTCAACGGTCACACTTTGACCCGACTCGCCGAGTGCACTAGAGTGACTCGGCGAGTACACGCCTGCCCTCTTCGCCCCTGGTCCTCTCTTGACTCGCTGGGTCAACCCTATACTCCATGGGTCGTCACAGATCGCGAGTCGCGGGGCAACCCGACTCAACTCGTCGAGTCCACTTATGGACTCGGCGAGTAGCCTCCATGTTCATACTCAAAAGACCTTCTGAGGTCAGATATGTTCCTCTAATCCATAGATCTGACCTTCCCAAGCTAAATAAACACGTAAAGGTTCGAACTTGATACTCATGCAACCTCCAAATGACTCTACTTGAAGATTTAGCCCCAATTACAACATCCTAAGTCCATTTCTTCCATAACTCCTCATAAAGCAAGATGGAATACATTCTCTGGACCACTATGGATCCAGATCTGAAGTCTAACATGATAAGGGACCATATTCCCAACAAATCAACCTAATAAAGGGTATAGAAAACCCTAGATCCATGGATTCTTCAACAATACAGAAAGGAGATTGATATACTACCTCAAGGATGATGTCCTTTGCTTGAAATCCACAGATATGCAACCTCATTGGCCTCCTCCAAGCTGGAATCCACTCCTTCTTGCAAAACCAACCCACAAGGATCAAGTAATGGCTTCTTCTCTCTCACAAACGCTCAAGCACTATTAGGGTTTCTCTCAAGGGTCTGGTAGCCGCAAATGGTAGCTATAAGGGTCCTTAAATAGGTCCCAAACCCGAGAAATTAGGGTTTCATTAAACAGCGTGGACTCGCCGAGTCCACGTATGGACTCGCCGAGTCCGTCACTAAATCAGTCCAACCATGCGCGATCCTACTCGGCGAGTCTGATCGCCTACTCGTCGAGTCCCTCTCCAAAACTCAGTATAAATACTTAAAATGAGATACCTGGAAATCCGGATGTTACAATTCTCCCCCAGTAGAATCAGACTTCGCCCTCGAAGTCCTGCTTGACAAATAACTCCGGATGCTGTTCCCGCATCTCCAACTCCGGCTCCCAGGTCAGCTCGGACCCCTTCCGATGTTGCCACTGGACCTGCACCAGTGACACCTCCTTGTTCCCTAGAACCTTGATCTTCCGATCCCGGATTGCGATTGGCCTCTCCGCATAATTCAGGCTCGCATCCACCTGAATATCCTCCAGTGGTACTACCGCCGACTCGTCGGCTATACACTTACTCAACTGGGACACGTGGAAGGTATTATGAATCTGGCTCAACTCCGCAGGTAGCTCTAACCGATATGCTACCTTGCCCACCCTCGCGGTTACCCTGAATGGACCGATGTACCGGGGCCCCAGCTTGCCCCTCTTCCTGAATCGGATCACTCCTTTCCAAGGAGATACCTTCAAGAGTATAAAGTCCCCACCTGGAACTCCAGCTCGGATCGCCGCCGATCCGCATAACTCTTCTGACGACTCTGAGCCGTCAGTAACCTCTGTCTAACCTATTGTATCTGCTCCGTCGTCTGAAGCACTATCTCAGTGCTACCCATCACACACTGCCCTACCTCTCCCTAGCAAATGGGAGTCCGACACCTCCTCCCATACAACAATTCGAAGGGAGGCATACCAATACTCGCATGATGGCTGTTGTTGTAGGAAAACTCAGCCAACGGTAGGTACGTGTCCCAACTTCCTCCGAATTCTAACACACATGCTCGGAGCATGTCCTCGAGCGTCTGAATCGTCCGCTCACTCTGTCCGTCCGTCTGGGGGTGGTAGGCGGTACTGAAATGCAACCTCGTACCCAACTCCTTGTGGAATTTCTTCCAGAACCTGGAAGTGAAACGTACATCTCGATCTGACACGATCGAGATCGGTACCCCATGACGCGATATACCTGTTGGGTTTTGAGCATTCTAACACTCCTATGGTGTACATGCAACCCTATAAACCTTGGATCTATGTTTTCTCTATTATACATGCAAATATTAACTATTCCAAGGTTTCATCCTAACTAGCATATTATGAAGCACCTATACTACAAAGTTCTAGTTAGATGACATACCTTTTGATGTAGCTTGATGTCTTCAAGCTTTAAGAGCTTAGCCCCAATAGTGTGGAAGCCTCAAATGGAATCACAAATCACCAAAACACCTTGGAAGAACTCGAGAGAATATGTATGCACACTAAAATCGGCCCACTCTTATTTTCACACACTTGTGCCAATTTTGTGAGCCAAGGACCCCTTTATATATTATGGAGGATTAGGGTTACATCCATGTAAACCCTAATACCCATGACCTTTCATTTACATAGGATCCATGGGTTAAAAGCTCCATGGACCATCCATGAAAGCTTAGCCCAACCTAAATGAACTTGGCCCATTCCATATATATAAGAGTCCATATTTAATTAGTTCTTTTTGATCACTTAATTAATTCTAAATTAATTCTTGATCAATACTAATTAAATAATATGATTCCATATTAATATATTAGAACTTATAATATATTAATATAAATCATAAATATACTATTCTCAAAAGACTATCCATATAAATTGTGCCGGTGAAGTGCAACCCAAATGGACCATGCCAGGTCGGGTCAAGTACATACCAATATAGTTATGGACTTAGACATTAATCCAACAGTCTCCCACTTGGATAAGTCTAAAACTATTATTGAGTATGACTTCAAAACCTAACTGGCAATCGTAGCTCTTAAAGCCGCTGTCGAACTCTGACCTTGCCGATGAACTCTAACCTTTGTCAATGACTTGTCCATTAGATAAGGGATCATATATTCCTCCATTCTAGATATCATATGGACTGAGACATGGATTATCAATCATTCTCTCTGTCCATTTGTTGTTTCCCGATTTTCGATTTATGATGACTGACTGATTGAACAAATCAAATCAGTCCTGGCTTGGCCAAGCACTCACATGTGTCATCGCTAAATCATCGAGGGGCCCACAATATCGCTTTTATCCCGAAGGTAAAAGGAATGGATAAACTTCGACTCATATGGCTTGTTCTACTACTTGTTGAATCATACACAAATGCACGTTTTATAACATCGAGTTACCAATGCGTTTTCGTGCAAACAATGTATAACCAACTCATAGTAACAACTCATATCTCTAGGTTTTAAGAATATAAGATATTATCGTCTCATGATCACTCGTGATAAA